CAAATTGTTCATCTTTTAATAATTTTTCAAATGAAATAAATGTAGATATTTTCTGATGCATAACCTTTTCAAATACTTTAGATAGTATAGGTATTAATGTAATAGGTCGGTAGTTACCGAGTTCTTCATGGGGCCCATTCTTGTGTAAAGGTTTCACAATTGAAAATTTTAATTCAGTTGGAAACTGGCCTTGTACGAGAGAAAGGTTTATTATATGAGCCAAAGGGGTGGAGATAAAAACAGCACTTTTCTTTAAAATGTCAGTGTTGATGTCGTCATAACCTGTAGAATATGTATTTCTTAGTCCTTTTATTATTTTGTATATGTCATTTTCATTAATAGGTGTCAAATAAATACTGTTATGATGGAATGATATATTATGGGCTGAATGTCCGGAATTTATTTCTTTGTCAGTTTTTGGTATGCTTTTATTTGTCATGTCTATAAAATACTTATTGAATTCGTCACATATTTCATTAGGATTGTCAATATAGTTATTATTTCCAATTTTTATTTTTTTAATGTCTTTTTTTGAGTCTATATTTTGCGTGTATTTTTTTAAAATATCCCATGTAGTTTTGCAAACATTCTTTGAGTTTTTGATGTAACGTGTATTTGTGTTTTTTTGTGCTTGGAGTATACATTGCTTTAATACTTTTGTGTAGCGCTGGTAATATTTTCTTTTTCTAATTTTGTTGGAAGAAGAAAGCCGATATTTAAGATAAAGCTGTCTTTTGTAAATACAGCATCGTTTAATACCTCTTGTTAGCCAATTATTTTTCATAGGTTTGTTGACTATTTTTACTTTTATGGTTGGGAAACACAAGTTAAAAAATAAACTAATTAGGTCATGAAAATATTTAAATGCTTTATCAGTATCGTTTTCTTGAAGTACTTCAAGGAACGATAATGCTGAAATACAATTTATGAATTTTTTTACGTTTTCTTCACACATGTCACGCCTATATTCAATCCATGAGTTGATTTTTTTCTGATAATTTGTATTCAAGTCCAGCTCAAAAGTAATGCTTTGACCTGTCTCATGATCAGACAAACAAAGATAATGCAATTTCGGTTCAACTTGTTGATTTATGTTGCTTGTTATTAGGTCTAAGCATGCATTCTTACGTGTTGGGATATTTATATGATTTTTTATATTATAATTACTTAGCAAACTATTCAAATCTTTACTGTACTTATTGTTCTGAGTCATATCTATATTCCAATCCCCACATAATACAATTTTTTTATTACGTTTTTTCGATAGCATATAAAGAAGAGACTGTAATTGTTGAAAGAAAACGTCTAGTTTAGAATTAGGCGTTCTATATATGCAGACTAATATGAGATTATAGAGCAAAATTTCTACAGCACAACACTCAAATGTGTACGGCTTAGCTTGAGAGATATCAATTTTTTTGTAATCCAAGTCACTTTTTATCATTATGCAAGTACCACCTCTACGCTCATTCCTACAGAACGATGCGGCAAGTTTAAAATTGCTGATATTTAAATTTTTTTCAGAACCTTTCTTCATAAAAGTTTCCGAAAAACAAATAAAATCAACAGAACCCAGTTCTTTTTTTAACTCAAGTAATGCTACCTCGAATAGATCTTGCTTGCTGAGAATGCTAGCTATATTCTGATGAAACAATATCAATTTATTTGTCATTGGAACGAAAAAGCTCACTGTCACCTAGCTCGCTTGAGTTTTGTTTTTGTTTTATAAAGTATGACGGTATTATTGTTTGCTTTAGATTTTTTTTACTTAAAACAAATTTATCTCGTGTTATTCTTGTGGTTTTACTGTGTATATTTTGAAAAAGCAATGTTTTTACTCTTTGCGGTGTAAGATACTCATCTCTATAGTGTAGATAGTCAATTTGTACATTAATTTTGAAGCATAATTCTCTTAAATACATTTTACTGTGTGTAATTTGAATAAATTCGCAATTGTCATAATTTTTTATAAGTAAATTAATATTGTAGTTTAATAAGTCTACGTTTAAGTGTGTATTAAACAGGACGTTTATAACAAAAACTTTGAAATTTCTTAATTTATACAATGCTATCCCTAACTCAGATAGCAGGACGTAAGGATTTTTATCATTTGCTCCGATGGCCAGTACTACGATGTCGTCTTTCTTGAGAGTTTCTGTTAGGTTATCGCAGGTATTCAGTACCTGTTTACTTGTTGCCTCTGTTTTCGTCATCGTAGTAATCGTATAGGGATTATTCAAGATGCAGTTCCGGCTACTATGCAGCTTTTTTGATAAGCCCTTGATTTGTTCGTCGCCCAGAATGAAGATCTGAGATTTTTTCTCACTCTGTGTATCATTTTTGGTGCTATTGTTGACACAACTGCTGCCATCCGTCGAGATGTCAGTGTTCCTATCGAAGGGTGTACAGGTTTCTTCTGCTACGTGGGGTTTCGAGTTACTCGGCGATGTACAAGTATTATACAGAACTGATTTGTCCATGTGTATTGGAGACGTCCGTGATATATTTGTGTTTATATGTAAAATTTTTCTTCGTATTGGAGTCATGTTTGTCTTCTTATGTACAATGTCACTGCTGATTGCTTTTAGTAATTCAATTTGTTTTTCCTGCTTCTTAATTTTATTNATGCTATCCCTAACTCAGATAGCAGGACGTAAGGATTTTTATCATTTGCTCCGATGGCCAGTACTACGATGTCGTCTTTCTTGAGAGTTTCTGTTAGATTATCGCAGGTATTCAGTACCTGTTTACTTGTTGCCTCTGTTTTCGTCATCGTAGTAATCGTATAGGGATTATTCAAGATGCAGTTCCGGCTACTATGCAGCTTTTTTGATAAGCCCTTGATTTGTTCGTCGCCCAGAATGAAGATCTGAGATTTTTTCTCACTCTGTGTATCATTTTTGGTGCTATTGTTGACACAACTGCTGCCATCCGTCGAGATGTCAGTGTTCCTATCGAAGGGTGTACAGGTTTCTTCTGCTACGTGGGGTTTCGAGTTACTCGGCGATGTACAAGTATTATACAGAACTGATTTGTCCATGTGTATTGGAGACGTCCGTGATATATTTGTGTTTATATGTAAAATTTTTCTTCGTATTGGAGTCATGTTTGTCTTCTTATGTACAATGTCACTGCTGATTGCTTTTAGTAATTCAATTTGTTTTTCCTGCTTCTTAATTTTATTCTGCAAATCATAGTTTTCGGAGTTCAGGTTGCTTATTTCTTGTTCTGCTCTTTCTAGTGAAAAACGTAGTGTTGCTAGCTCTCTTATATACTCTTCACTGCGTGACGTATCATTTTGTTGTGGTTCGCTTTGTATACTTAGCATCGTCGAATCCATAATGGTCGAGTTCAAAACATCTTGGGACATTTGAGAAAGATCCAATTCTGACCGTGATCTGGGCATTCTGGTACGAATTGTCACGTTTTCCATATTTATTTGCAAAATGTAATTATCGTAAAAAATCAAAAATAAAAAATAAAAAATTGTTTGAAATTAGTATGTCACAAAAATAAAAACAAAAAAAAATTGTAGGCAGTGAGATTTGAACTTGGGGTCTCACGGCTGATGGCGCGCAGCAAGTCAGAGTCAATCGCCAACGGGCTGTTAGTACCACTGAGTGAGTTGACGAATAGTGCGAATAGTTCAATCACTTCGTATTGACAAGCATTGTAGAAGCAATTTTATGACCATATAAGGTAATTTCGTTCAACGCACACGGAGTTGGTGAGTCACAACACAACACGGCACTGACTGGATGATTCTTTGTTTTGGTTTATAATCGCCACTTTTGCACTGTTTTAGGCACTAAAGAGTGTTTGTTTGTTATTGATTATTAGCACAGTTTCTGGATTAGGTTTTGATGAATCGATGTGTATAACTTTTATGTTGAAATATTCGCTTTTTACCACTGTTTTGAATAGAAATAGACGGAGCCGTTTAAAGTACGCGCGTTCGTGCGCACTCGCGCGCGCTTACTTGCCATTGAAGGTTGACACTGCTTTTGATATTGGTGATGATGAGGAAAGTGGTGATGATGATGAATAGACGACGTCTTACTACCTATAAGTGAGCCGCATCCTGGCCAGGCAATGTCATCTAGTAATGGTTGAGCAGTCCCTCCCTATTGTGGTGATGGTGATGATGATGATGACGTCATCATATTGGTAACTCACCTTTGAGTAAGTAGTAGCTTTCCAGCCAGGTAATGGAGGAGGGAGGTAAGGTTGAGCAGTACCACTGAAGTAGTATCTATGATGAGCACTCACCTGTGCGTAAGTCGTTTCCCAGCCAAGCGGCTGGCAGCGGCTGCCAAATGAGCAGCAAGCAACGCCCGATGCTGCGCGGACAGCGGCGGCGCGGCCCGAGAGACCGCGGGCCGCGGGTGCGCGGTGCCCGCTCGGGATAAATACTCTTCGGACTCGTGATCATGGTGGTGATGGTCTTTAGTAGGAGTAGGGTGGTGATGATGATGGTGACAATGATGGTGATGACCTAAACTGACTTTGGTGTGAGCCATTTCACATCCAGGCATGTAGAGTTGCTGTTATGATGAAGGTGATGACTGATGATGATGATGATGAAGGGGTGATGATAATGTTAAGGCTGTGTATCCCGTTTCCCAACTAACTTTCACAGGTTGAATACTTACTCCTTTGATAATGGTGATGATATTGATGATGAGTGGTGATGATGATGACTAAACAATGTTGCAATCGCCCATATAGGCAATGAAGCATGAACAGTCCCTATGGTGATGATGATGACGTCATCATCTAGGCGCCTCACCTGTGAGTAAGTCGTTTACCAGCCAGGCAATGAAACCCCTCTAGAAGGGAAGATGAGTAGTACCACTGAAGTAGTATCTATGATGAGCACTCACCTGTGCGTAAGCCTTTTCCTAGTAAAGCAATGAAATCCATCCAGTCAAGGTTGAATTGTCTCCCTATTGTGGTGGTGATGAAGATGATGACGTCATCATCTTCATCATCTTGGTGCCTCACCTGTGCGTAAGTCGTTTCCCAGCCAAGCGGCTGGCGGCGGCTGCCAAATGAGCAGCAAGCAACGTCCGATGCTGCGCGGACAGCGGCGGCGCGGCCCGAGAGACCACGGGCCGCGGGTGCGCGGGGCCCGCCCGGGAGAGGTACTCTTCGGACTCGTGATCATGGTGGTGATGGTCTTTAGTAGGAGTAGGCTGGTGATGATGGTGGTGACAATGATGGTGATGACCTAAAGTGACTTTAAGCCATTTCAAATCCAGACAGGTTGAGTTGCTGTTATGAACTTATGATGATGGTGATGACTGATGATGATGATGATGAAGGGGTGATGATGATGTTAATTAAGGCTGTTTATTTCGTTTCCTAGCTAAGCGGAAGGAGTAAGCTGGTGGGTGATGATAGCGAACGTGGAGTTCCCATAATGATGACGACGATGATGATGATGACTAACTTGTGCCTGAGCCGTTTTCTATCCAAACAGGTCGGGACAATAAAGGTCTCACAATGATGATGATGATGATGAAGGTGGTAATGGTGATGAGGATGATGATAATAACGCTGACAAGTGGTTTCACAACCAGTGAAGACTGAATATTCCTTTGATGTTGGTGATGAAAGTGGTGATGATGATCCTAACTAACACGTGCGTAAGTCGTTTCAGATCCAGATAGGTAGAGAAGTCCTTGACAATTACAATGGTGATGATGATGTTAAGGGTCTTGGTGATGATGATGATAAATGACCTGAGTCAGTCGCTTCGCAGCCACCTTTAACCCAACTAGACACTATGTTGTTGATGATGATGACTCATGATGATGATGATGACTCATGATGATGAAGACGCAAACTTAGCTGTAAGTCGTGTCTCGTCTAGTCGTTAAGGTAATCAAACCAATCCAGTCAACGTTGAGCAGTCCCTATGATGATGATGGGGAAGACTGACCTGTGGGTGAGACGTTTCCCAGCCAAGCGGCTGGCGGCGGCTGCCAAATGAGCAGCAAGCAACGCCCGATGCTGCGCGGACAGCGGCGGCGCGGCCCGAGAGACCACGGGCCGCGGGTGCGCGGTGCCCGCTCGGGAGAGGTACTCTTCGGACTCTTCTGGGGTCCGGGTGGCGATTAGGAAGTTCTTTAGGTCGCCCTGGAGACGGAAAAAAGTATAAATAAGTATTTTACTCCAGTTTTGGAATTATTCCGGTCGAAATACTATTTAATCGTAGACAAAAACTTCTGCATGATGTATTAATACTTATAAGCTCAGTAGTAAACACAACTCTAACACCTAGACTAGTTGTAAACACATCTCATACCCACTCTTAGACTAGATGTAAACAAAACTCACCCACCCAGCACTTACTATAGTCTGGTCTGTGAGCATGTAGAATTTTGTCCAATGACCCCAAGCTACCCATCCTTATCGCTCGCGCGTAATTATGTTGCTGTCGCGCTCGCACACTCACTGCGGGCGCCCGTCGCACAGTCGCGACAGCAATATAATTACGCGCGAGCGATAAGGATGGATAGCTTGGGGTCATTGGACAAAATTCTACGTGCTCACAGACCGGGCTTTAGTTGTAAACACATCTCACCCGCTCCTAGACTAGTTGTAAACACAACTCACCCAGCTCTTGTCAGACTAGTTATAAACACATCTCACCCGCTCCTAGACTACTAATGAACGTAACTCACCTACTCCTAGACTAGTAATAAACACAACTCACCCACTCAGTGTGTTCCAGCAACATATAGTGTGGTTCGGCATCGTTGCATAGGCCGATGAGCCGGACTATGTTCTCGTGGCGGATTCGGCCGAATAAGTCCAGTTGCCGCCGAAACTCGGCCAGTTGTACCTGAGGCAAAAAATACCATCAATTAACTGCGTGAGAGAGTTAAAAAAAATCCATATGGCATTAATAGAATAGGGATGTTTTCTGGGTAATAAAGCAAAAGTTTGAATTAGTCCGTCAGTTAACTTATCAAAAATACACGACGCTATTTCACTTTTTCAAACGAATGAAAATTGACAGAGAGAAAGCGCGCCAAAGTGCAAAAGAAGAGGCCCGTGACGTCAAGGGGTGGTTAAGTGTAGCACGGTGTGACGTCACGCGAAACTTCAACGCACCATAACTTCATAATAACTTGTTAGATTGACAAATAAAAATATACATGTCCAATGTTTTTTGATAATATAATTGACAGATTAAACACTTTTTTTAGAAAAATATCATAAGGGTCTTCTTACCTCGTCCTTAGCTGTCAAAGCCTTCACCAAAACATGAGTCATGATCGGCTCCGCGTTTTCCACCTCTTTCTTGCGAAGCTTCCGCACTTGGTTCACGTCTATCTTCGCTAGTGACACCTCGCCGAATTCTCCACGACCTATGATTTACAATAAGATATAAATTAAAGAAAAAGTCGCCATGACAACAATAATAAGGTGGATTTATACTTGTCTGACGTTTTTTGTAGTGACGCATCAGAACAGAATCGGTTTTATACAATTTATAGCCTGACCAGGAACATAAAAACCCTGGCATAGTGGCGCGTCAATTGCTTTTGATAGTGCAACACTGAGTACAGTCGTACCTGTGTTAAATTAATAGGCTAACTTTATGTATTCAGGATTACGGGCTAATTTGATATTTTCATAAATTAACGAAAAAAGATTATATAAAAGGTAACCTGCTTTAAATAAATTAAATGAAACCATCAATCGAGCTAGTAGGATTTATTTTATTTTTCATCAATAATCAAATTCAGAACTTGAATATTCAACTACAATGTCTGCTCATGAGCACTTCAAACTCAGTACTTCTTTCCCAATTCCATAAAATTCAACACTTACAAAGTGACAAAAAACTTAAAAATAGCTAGCTGAAACAAACCACAGCTAATTTTCATAGTGGACTGTACTATACGATAAACATGTCAGTCAATTTGACAACCTTTATCGGAAACATTATTCAATGAAAATATTGTCCGAACCCTTAGTATTTCTCTTCAACAAATACTTTAACACACTGTGAACCACTTTTCTTTCACGACTATAAAAAGTTTTTAGCAAATTAATTCACAAAATCAATTGCACACATTTAAAATAAAGTTTGTTTACACCTTGACAGCAATAGACTGAAATGCAAGGTGACATGTCAATGAAGTTTTCAGTTACTGTTGCCATTAAAAGAAATTAGTACCATTAGTTTTCCGCAACATGGCGAGGGTTTTTATGTTCCTGGTCAGGCTATAGTATAGTAACTTTTAGGCAGAGTTGCACCACTTAACTTTGACCGAGTATAAAGATCAACGGTGTTTTTGTATACAGTTTGACAGATTTTTGACGTTTGTTAAAGTTAAAGTAAGTTAGTGCAACTCAGCCTCAAACTAGTGTTGTGTCGTGTCGTGATGGCTTCTGACATTGCCACACAAAATGTATAACTATAAAACCGATTATGTTCTGATGCGTCACGACACATGTCAGACAAATATAAATCCACCTTTAAAAGCTCAAGTCAGTTAAAAATATGACTTCCCATACACGTTTTGCAAATATTTTTGGAACAGTTTTAGCTAAGTTAAGGCACATAATGGACTAAAGTTCCTTTGATGAGTACAACGTATAGCAACAGAACTTGAAAACTTTCCACAAAGTTCATTTATGTATAAATATTTTTACAAATATTTGCCAATAGCCTCTTATGTTTGTAACCGGTATTTGAGCTAGGTTTTTAAAATATTACTTTTTTCAATTACTTGTAATTAAACAAGATTTTTTGATAATCTATACTAATATTATAAAGCTGAAGAGTTTGTTTGTTTGTTTACTTGAACGCGCTAATCTCAGAAACTACTGGTCCGATTTGAAAAATTCTTTCAGAGTCAGAAAGCCGAGGAAGGCTATAGGCTATATACCATCACGCTATGAGTGTAGTTGCAGAGCAAAAATGAAAAAAGCAAAAATGTTTACACGCGTACGAATTCGCAGGCACAGCTATAATTAATAATTTTAAAAATGTCACTTACCAAGCGTCACTAGTTCGGTCAGCAAGCCCCTCGGGACAGTAAGATGGTCGTACTGTCCCGACTTCTTTGAAGCGCGGGACACCCCCGACACTTCTGAGTTGTCCGCACCTTTAACAAATAAGATATGAGGTTCATAGGAAATACATTATTTTCTTCTATAAACACAAATTGGAATATCAATTTATTGAGGTTTCGATGTTTATTATAAACTTTATTTGGACCGGTGAAACTTCAATTTAGCCTAAAAACCGTGTTAATATTTAAAAAAATCAATAAATTGTCAGTTGATTCATAGGTGCGCTTAACCAGAGTAAATACAAATGAGTAGGTCATCTTCATAGAAACGCACCGAGCGCGGTTTGTATGTGAGCGCGCCAATACGTATACTGTCCGAAAATTTTATGTTTGCAGCTTCCATACATATTTTTCGGATACTTCCAGTTTATTCTGTAACCTATCATTGGTACCGTTTGAAAGAGCTCGTGAAGCACTTTCAGGATCAGTAACCAGTTTTTGGATATCTTGTATAGTTTAGAAATAATCGAGTGAGATCACTTATCGTTTCCACCCTGTATAACTTACCGCTATCCCTATCGTGGGGTAGCAGCCGGCCGTTCTGCACGGGAGCGCCGTTGCCAATCTTCTGTTTGTCTTCTTCTTCTTCTACCAACTTCTCTCTGCCTTCTGCCATCTCTAATTCTTCTTTTTCGCCTGAGAAGAATGTTTTTTTTTTATTATTACGTTCACTTTATTATAATATAACATACTGGCCGCTTAGTCTAGTGACCCGCGGATCGTAATCGGATGCCAAAGGTAGCGTATTCGATCCCTGTTAAACCATATTATTTGTAGCTGAGCGTGACGTTACATTACTTATGAACATGTATGAAAATACGCTCATTACGCGCGAGCGATAAGGATGGGTAGCTTGGGGTCTTTGGACGAAATTCTACGTGCTCAGCGACCGTATTTTAGCAGCATATACGCGGCCGCCACCGATATGGAGACACCTACATACAAGCAGTGACGTCATAACACTCATCTGACCTCTCTGTCGCCTCTGCAGCCGTCTCCTTCTGCAGTAGAACATCAGCGCCAAGACTAGCAGCATATACGCGGCTGCTACTGATATGGAGACACCTACAAGCAGTGACGTCATAACACTCATCTGACCTCTCTGTCGCCTCTGCAGCCGTCTCCTTCTGCAGTAGAACATCAAAGCCAGGACTAGCAGCATATACGCGGCTGCTACTGATATGGAGACCACCACTGCTTTGCCGCCTACCCCAGTGGATTCCGCTGGTGGTAGTTCGCCTTCTGAAATTATATTTTAGCGTTTATTATACTGAATACCTCTCGAACCGTGTGAAAATATCAATTATACTGAAAAAGGCTCAAGGTGACCAATCAGAAATGAGGAGATCCGTATTAGAACAAAAGTAACGACATAACCTATAGAATTGCCAAAATTAAGTGGCAGTGGGCGACACATAGCTCGCAGAACTGATGGCCATTGGGTCAGAAAACCACGTGACCACGTCACCACTCAAGAACTTTTCTGGAAAAGGTAGTTTTCAACTGGTAAAAGTAGTTTATGCAGGTCTTCCGCTCATTTTTCGTGCAATAAACAATTACTAATTGGACCGAGGATCTGGCGAAGGTCGCGGGAAGGTGTTAGTGTGTTGGCAACGGGCAATCTGGAAATCATTGGGGAGGAGGCCTACGTTCAGTTCCTGTGTTTTTTTATTCAGAAAAACTAAAAAGGTTGGCATTTGACCGCAATCACACCTGATGTTAAGTGAGATGCAGTGTAGAATGGTAAATAAATACTACTACTATAGTCTGGTCCGGGAGCACGTAGAATTTTGTCCAATGACCCCAAGCTACCCATCCTTATCCGCGACTGTGCGACGGGCGCCCGCAGTGAGTGTGCGAGCGCGACAGCAACATAATTACGTGCGAGCGGATGGGTAGCTTGGGGTCATTGGACAAAATTCTACGTGCTCCCGGACCAGACTATAGCCTATTCATTCTCATTTGTAACATGAAGAGGCCTCGATCATCGTGTTCGGAAAAGAGTAGAACGCCGAAAATTCCAGTCACTGGCTGTTCGCATAATAAAAGAGTGAAATTAAATGATGACGAATGACATTGGAGGAGGCCTATGTTTAACAGTGGACGTCCTATGGCTGAAATGATGATGATGATGATGAACTTACCAGGGTGAACAGTCAGCACCAATTCATTCCTGGCCAAGCCGGCTGCGTTGCCCGCTATACAGCCGTACCGGTCCGAATCACGCTCCGTCGCGTTCTTTATGAGTAGGGTCCCGTTGTTTAGGAGAAGCACCCTGTAACATATTTATAGGTTTATGCCCGTTTTCACCATCAATCCCTATTTTTAAGTGACACCTATGAAAACAAAATTCCTGGTGAAAACGGGCATGAGCCTTTTGAAGTAGGTTCGTGATTTTTTTATGGTTTTTAACCTGAAAAGGTAAAGACAATGGAATAAGCGGTATTGGACGTAATCGAAGAGCTTCGAATCTCAAACACGTCATTTATTGTACAGATGACAACGTTATATCGTTGCAATAGGGGCGATTTTGTAACAAAAATGTATAGTTGGATATGCTGTCGTATAATTTAAAGTATTTTTTTTACCTTGCAGTGGAAGCATTTACTCCGCCCTCAACATCGACGCCTTCTTCTGAAAAAGATGTAGAATTCTATTATTAAAAAACATACAAATATTGCATCATAATGATATACGAGACATGCATTTACGCTTGTGTGAAACACGCATCTAAGCTTATTTGAGATACGCGTCTACGCTCACGCGACACACGCATCTACGCTCGTGTGAGATACGCATCATCGCACGTCGAGACACGCATCTACCTACCTACGCTAGTGCGAGACACGCACCTACAAAAAATCTTTTTATTTTTGCAAGTAGGCTTTTAGAAAGCACTTTAACACGTTTCAGTATTAATCCTACCACTGCTTCAGGACAATAAACGGGCCAGTGTGTTAAGAAGAAGCGAATAAACTAAGTACCTAATATTGTCAGTCTCTTTTTCAAGGGTATTTTCTCTTCGCTCGTTGAGACACGTATCTACGCTCGTGCGAGCCACTTATCTACGCTCGTACGAGTCACGCATCTACGCTTGTACGTATGAGACACATAAACACTGACATGAAATAGGGGTTTATAAAATGTGATCAACTGCGACTGCGTTTCTTCTGCCACTTCTCCTCAGCACCAGCCCATATGTTGTCGCGAAGTGGTGGCAGGGCAAGCTATATTTGGGACGTGTATAAGCGCCCAGTAGGCCTAGGATGCGCGCCGCGATAAGCTTTTATCGCGCCATTTTATCGATTTTACGCGACACTGTCGTCTAAAATAATCGATAGGATTTAGTCACGGCGCGCATCTTAGCCCGGCTGAAAAGGGAAAGGGCCTAAAGTAAGTTGCGTGTGCGTGTGTGTGTGTGTGTGCTTGTGTATGTATGTGTGTGTGTGTGTGTGTTCGTGCCAGCGCGCGCGCGTGTGTGTGTGTGTATGAGTTAGTATGCTGACGATAGTATTGAATAAATGATTTAATTTGAGACTCACGTTGTAACTTCAGCATGGTCCGGTTTCTGTCCCACTGGGTGGTGGGATGCGGGTCTCCTGTGGCTCTACAGTTCAGTACCACTGTGTCCCCAACGGACACGTGCGTTTGCTGGCCGGACGCGGGTTCGATTACTCGTGGTGACACTGTGGGGAAAAGGTTTATTTTTATAACTGTAAACGTAATGTGTTTATTATGGCTGTTAGATAGCCATATGGCCACAGCTGGACAAAAGGCTACTCTAAAGATTTCCATAACGACCCTGCATCCTGACGCTTCTCCCAAGAAGGTCCTAACCATCATCAGAAGTCCTACCTGGGAGGCCTGTCTACACGACCTTTTGGTCCGTGGTCGCCACTTATCAACTTTTTGACACGTTGCTTTAGATCTCCTATGGCTCTTAACTTCTGAGCGTTCGTCGCCTGTGAACGTGCCAGAATCTGGAAGTCTGGAATAACAACTTGCTTGCTGTTTCAAATCTGTATTGTTATTCAATTGTCAACTTTGTGTGGTGTGCAATAAAGAGTACTATTACTCACCAACAATATCCAGAGTGATGTCGGCTGCTATGGAATGGTCTCCATCGACAGCCTTCACGTGTACATCCCAACGTGACGTCACCACCATTAGAGTCCCTCGAAGATCCGTCACACCCACTGGGAGGGTTCTCAATTATTTTTACATAGGCTTCAATTTTTAGATTGACCGGTTGGTAGCGGCCTGCATCTAGCGCCTTCCCGCTACCTTTATGAGGTCGTCTGTCCACCTTGTGCCTATCTCTAACTCACCAACAATATCCAGAGTGATGTCAGCCGCTATGGAATGGTCCCCATCCACAGCCTTGCAGGTGTACTTCCCAGCATGGCGTCTGGAGGCGTCCACTACCACTAGGGTCCCGTTGGATGACGATATACCCTCTGGGAGAGGGTCGTCTTCGTTCTGTAAATTAAAGAGGCGAAATGTTAGTGATAATCACAATCGTTCCCATTATTTACATAAGGTTACTTCAGGGTTTAAGGCTTTATCAAACAAGGATGCGTGGTCAGTTCAGTCTGCATTATTTTGACTATATACTTTTACAAATTTGGTTGCTTTGGTGAGAGAACTCACCACTTCTGGTTGAAATACAACTAAGGGCATTTTCTAGCAGCTCATTTCTAGGTTCAGATTACTTATCAAGAGCAAGCACTATTTTTTTTTTATTACTTAATGGTAATTTTTGTAAATCGCACAGCACTCCAAGGTTCAGACTATCTGTTATTCCACGTTCTGTCCCGTTACTCCTTTAGCTACCTAAACTAATTACGCTTGTGTTAGTGTGGAGTTAGTTCACCACTTCATCGTCCAGCGGTCTACCTGCCCTGGTCAGCAATCCGATACTGACACCGTTTGGCTATGGTCACTATTGGTCAACTGTTTGAACCAAGTGTAAAGTCCGGTCGCCGAGCAGATAGAATTTCGTCCAATGAACCCAAGCTACCCATCCTTATCGCTCGCGCGTAATTATATTGCTGTCGCGACTGTGCGACGGGCGCCCGCAGTGAGTGTGCGAGCGACGAAATTCTATGTGCTCGGCGACCGGTCTTTAGTTGAAACTTACCAAATACCATTGCACAGTGGGTGCCACTCCACCAGCGACCTTGCAGTGGATCTTGCCTGAACTGTTCAGCTCCAGTTTCTTGCTGTACGGCTCTGGCTCGAAACGGAGTTTGCCGTCTGTTGGGGAAACCAATTTGGACTTTAATGACACCCTATGTAGAGTTAGCTACAGAAACTTTTGTTTAAATAAATTGAATTCATCATAATCAGGTCATTTAGTCTCTGCACAAAGCGGAGTTTACCATCTATCATTAGGGGAAACAATTGGATCTTAATGACACCTAAGTCTGGAGACAAATAAACTGTTTTGATAAGTTAAGTCATTATCATAGTCATAGTCGCCATTGCAGGAAGACGACTCTCTCTACTTTATCAGAGGCACTCGATTGAAATTTTTGGTACGGACGGAGCGAACGCGGGGAGGTGTCCGGGTGAGTGCGAGGGAGAGTCGCATTCCATCGAGGTGCGCAGTTATCATATATAACATAAGCCTCCTCAATCGGCGGCGTGGGGAGTGTAGACCAAATCCTCATTTGTCTTTTGGTGAAATTGGAGAGGTCCGTGTTCCTACACGAAGTGGAGACTCAGGAGTTGCAGCGATGGGTACGAGAAGTGAGAAAAGTCACGCCCGACATACGGGAAAATAATCAATCTGTATAGACTTGTATTTATAAACAAGTACTATTAAATCGTTTTTATTTCTTAGCGAATAGAGTCGCTTCTCAAACTAAATTTTAAATAAACAACTTGAAAAAGTCGAACTGCTTAAGGCGGGACTCGAACCCACGACCTTCCGCTTGCCGGGTGACTGCTCTTCCAACTGTACTATTCAATTTATACGTAACCTTTGCGCCAAATTACAACAACACAACACATCAAGACATATTTCGCACTTTATTACCAGAACACTGCGCACTAAAATAATCTGCGTAGTGCGGTGCAGTAGTAGCTATAACGTTAACGGTTGTCGTAAACCCTTTATTCAGGATCAAAGGACTTCGCCACTAGTGCGGACAGTCCGCCATTAAGTGGCAGGGTTGCCACTTCGCATAACTGTTAAAATTGGTATAAATATCCTACTAATAGTTTGAATGTCTTTTTTTATATTACAGAAGGCAAACGAGCAGACGGATCACCTGATGGTAAGTGATGTCTAGATGTTTGTTACTCTTTAACGCAAAACTACTGAACGGATTTTGATGAAACTTTACAGTATTATTGTTTGTAACCCATAATAACATATAGACTATAATTTATGACGATCTGTGACAAACTAAATTTCACGCGAGTGAAACCGCGGGCAAAAGCTATACAAAATAAAACTTTAAATATGATGCGAGATTCTAAGGAACAAAATACACATAAGAACAAAATTCCAGAAATGGTGGACCAATTGGTAACTTTTTCATAATCCGAAAATGGTGTTTACAAGATGTCTGTAAGTTTATTATGAATCTTGAAAAAGGTTCCCGGGTGTATTTCAAATTCATAAAAAGCTGACATCCTTTTTTATAGCAGAATTGGATTCTCTATTCCAGTAAGCAAGAAAAAGATTATGACAATGAATTGGTGCATGTTACACTTTCACGCAAAAAAGAAACAAAATATACTGACCGGTAAGCGGTAACCCTATGTAAAAAAAACTGTTTTGTTTTAAACTCACCATTGGCAGCACGATGTCTTCTTCCTTTATGAGATCTGATCCTATGTGCAGAGTGGTGGGTCTCTGAAAATAAAAAAAAACAGTTCTAAAATACCTTTGCATGAATAAAAAAGAAGTTAAAAAAATAACTAATGTCAAATTCAAAATTCAAACCACGTTCGGAAAAAGAACAAAGGCGTTCAGTTGAAATGATTAAAAAACAAACAATCGCGGCAATGATGTAGACATTCCGTCTGTTTATATTGAAAATAGAACGCGTGTAGCGCCCTCGCTAAGGACATCCGGCTGTATGCTTTTATTCGTTGCGGTTAGAAGTGTTAAAAAAAAGAAAATGTAGACCACAGTGGGTCTAGACAAAGTGCAAATTATAGTCGCAAACCAGTCGAAAAGTGGTCGAAAAGCCCCTTTTTTGTATGGAGTTTTGACGGATTCGATTTTCGATTCGATCAAAAAGTGCGTTTTGTCTAGGGGGGCAGATAACCAATCGAATTATTTGAAATTGGAAAGCTTTTGCACTGGAAAGTCGAACCTTAACCTCGAACTCCTCCTATGTTATTCTGATTAATCTCGTCGCGGGTCCAATGACAGTTTAATAACTTTCCCCCGGCACAAACTTGACCTTCACTGGTTGGGTTTTTATTGGAGGTCAAGCTGTATATCCTGGCTACACAGGAGTTGCAGCGCGGTGGGAACGAAAAGTGGGAATATTAGTACCTTAGCTACTTTTTGGCGATTTTTTAAATTGTATTCTTCCTTTAAAAGCTTTCAAATATTCACTGTTATGCTTGACTAACATTGCGATATAAACATGGAAGTAGTATTAAACTTGAAAAAAGTTATACAACGGTGTATTTTTCGCGACAAGTTCCAACAGTTACAAACTCGGAGGCATGCTCAGAACTTTAAGAACTTACGAAAGCCTTTTTTTCAGCTGTCGCTTACATTCTGTAGGTACAGGCGGCTATTTTCAGGGCACTTTACTCGTTCCAAATATAGTAGATACTTCGATCGAACATTAAATTAATGGAATTTGAAGGAAAAAAATTAATTCCAACTCGGAGGCATGCTCAGAACTTTAAGAACTTACGAAAGCCTTTTTTTCAACTGTCGCTTACATTCTGTGCAGGCGGCTATTTTCAGGGCACTTTACTCGTTCCAAATATAGTTCTTCGATCGTAACATAAAATTAACGGAATTTGAAGGATTTTTTTTAGTATTACCGACGAATAGAATCTGTCTTTCAAACATCGCGTAAGTAAGTTCTGGATCGATTTGTAAAATTCTTTCACCATTACAATCCTACATTAATACTCATAAAAATAGGCGGTACGAAGTACGCCGGGTCATTCTTATACTTCCAATCACTTTATCAAGCTATCCCATTCACCCAGGCTACTGAACCCCATCGTAGCAAACCAGTTTGCGTAAACATAAACATAAACACGCGTTTACGGCGTCGGCACATCAAACGGTTATTCTTAGCGATGCTGCGACCAAAGCACAGGATATACAATGGACAAAGCAGAATAACGACAAATTCAAAATTAGAATACTGGTGCGGGACAAAAGACGAACGCGGTATATATTCAAAATTAGAAAGGAATAAAAATTATCTTCATTTGAAATTAGAATTGATGAATCGTCATTTGTTTTTTTTTTATACTTAATCACTAAGAAACACGACCCTTTTGTTATTTTGGAGAAAAGTCCTGAAAGAAAGTATTTGTTTCACAAAAAATAAATGAGTACAGAAACAGAAACCAAAATGTAAGTTAAAAAACTTCTTTGCCAAAAGGGATACAATTTTTTGTCAAAACGCGCCCGCTTTACATCAATTAAAAGAAATTTGAAACCGTGTGCCATGTCTTAAGACTGATTTTTAGCAAGTGCCTTAGCGTGTCTATTTTATTTTATTGTTCAAAGAATAATATAGAAAAAATACTCTTTCTTTCTCCACTGTTTTCTCTCCAGCATCATAGACCTCTACTTTTTAAAACATAAATCAAATGTGTCCAATTTCCATCACAACTGGCAAACACCCCACCCAATCTAAATACGTCAGGGCCTGGTAGTTGTCGGTCGGCGTCGAACCCGCGACTCCCGATCAATTAACACCTGCCCATTACTGGCACTACAGTACACTAATATTTGGGAGTGCATCCCTGTTGGATAGAGTACCAATCTGCCTTAAAACATGTATAGGTACCTATTCTGCTTCAGTAGTCCCTGAGAATTTTGTAATTAAAGTTATAAAAGTCATAGTCATAAATGTTTATTGCATCATGTTTGGTACATTTCGATCATAAAGTAGGTTTGTTTTAAGGTCTTAAAAAGCGCTCTTACATGTCCCAGTCCAGTGTACAATTTTAACCCTACCACTGTTATGAGATAATAAAACGGGTTTCCACTATAGCGGACAGAAAAGGTGTGTTTCATTTCATTCATTTCGAACCATGATCAGAGGTGGAATTGTGTAAAGCAATCGTAATCATTTGACAGTTCATAACGTACGATTATTCTGTCAAACGCTTTGTTTAACTGACTTTCGCGTACGTTATAAACTGTCAAATGGTTACGATTGCTTTACTCTGATTTTGGTTGTTTCCACATCACCTCTCCTTTTCGTTTTGGTGGAAACCAGGCCTAAGGCACCCTAAGGTGGGCAGTGCAGTGCTGAAATGCTGTTGCAATAAAAAAACCAGACATTGAATGTTCCTAGTATCGTCTTGCAATCAAAGAAAACCGTGGATAAAAACAACTCTATCCCCTTTACCAAATGCAACCTTTTTCATTGCACGTAGCTACAGTTGCTATACACGCCAAAAAAGAAATACAGATACAGCTCCAAATTCAAAATCTGTTCGGAAATCGTTTAAAAAATACGACACCCCAGCGCCGCGGCGCGCAATCGAACTAAATCGTAATGGCGGCGTCGCCATGGCAACGCTCGTAAAATTTTATGATCCGCGCCCTCGACGTTTGAAAAGCCACTTTGCGCGGGCTGCCGGCAGCGAGATTAGGGATTCCGTGCTCAACTACATTTGTAATCGGATAGTCTTTAGTGGATTCTGGAACTAGATCTAGCACTCGAGGTTGGAGCTAAAAAATTCCATTGCTTATAAAATGAAAGAACCTCCAATTCCTACCGTACGCGATTTATCCTATGAATGATTGGACTAAGGGCTGATTTTTCAACTGTCTGTCGGATATCTTTTAACTGAAGAGTAAAATTGACATTTTGACTTGTTTCCCATACTGAAACTGTCAATGTATATAATAATGTAATGAAATGTCGATGTATAACTTTACTGCATATCTGAATTGTACAATTGTTTGTTATCCTAAATAAAATAAAATAAAATAAATGTGCCAAACTGTTCAGTTAAGAGTTATCCGGCGATTGAAAAACTGCTTTTAATATACCAGTGAATCAATTCAAGCTGATTTTTCAACTGTCTGTCGGATATCTTTTAACTGAAGATTAAAATAAACATTTTGTCTTTACTGAAACTGTCAATATGCTTAATCTCTTCAGTTAAAAGTTATTCAGCGGTTGAAAAACCGCCCTTTAAGTACCAGTGAATCAATTCATCGATAGTGTCTTTCCTTCATCATTGTTGGGCATTTTCCAGACTGCCATATAAGGGTTATTCTCTTCCTCATTATAATTATAATCCTCATAATCTCCTGTGTCCCTATCTGCATCGGGTAGATACTCATTATGCTATAAACGTTAACAGGTTAACCTGCACTAAAATGTCTAGTTATCATCGAAAGCTTTTGAACTTTACGTCTTACTAATCACCTAATAACGTAATAATAAGGCACAAAATAAATTGAAGTAATAATTGAAGACAATTTGTGGATGGTGAAGGTGATGGTGACTCATGAGAAACCCAGGGATGCATAATGCATAACAACTGTAATATAGACACAAATCAAATCTTTTATTCAGTACTTAGGCCCTCTCCAGGAACCTTATACACGTCCCAAATATAGCTTGCTCTACCACCACTTTGGGACAACATATGGGCTGGCTGGTGATGATAAGAGGTAAGCAAAAGTAACCAATTCTTTTTTGTTAAATAATACATCACAATATTAACATTAATTAAAAAATTCACGCCTGTCCAAATAAACTCGGCTGGAACCTCAAAACTTAATTACTCGACTGCACTTTGTTATATAATTAAACCCACCCCCAACCCCATAAACTACCCCCTAAAAGTCGTAAACTGTCAGGCTTTGAGCCCTTGAATGTACTAGTGTTGTTCCGATTGCTGCAATGCCCGAATATCGATAAATTCTTTAATGTCCGTTCCATTACCTGTGTAATTAAAATAAATAAATAAATTAGCAAAACTATCATAAAATATTGGTGACATTCGAAAAATAAAATGAACATTGATATTGACGATGCATAGGACACTATTAACCGGATCTGAACATAGGCCTCTTCGGCAAATCATTGTGGGACACAGGCCGTGTTCAGCAGTGGATGTCCTATATGGCGGAATTAAAGATGATCATGATTCCCTGATTATAACAAAAACTATAATGAGTCATCATCTCGGCCATAGGACGTCCACTGCTGAACATAGGCCTCCACCAATGCTTTCCATGTCGCCCGGTTGGTAGTGGCCTGCGTTCAGCGACTTCCTGCTACCTTTATGATGTCGTCGGTCCACCTTGTGGGTAGACGTCCCACACTGCGTTTTCCGGTACGCGGCCTCCACTCCAGAAACTTGCTGCCCCATCGACCGTCAGTTCTGCGTACTGCCCTGCCCATTGCCACTTCAGCTTGCTAATCCATCGGGCTATGTCAGCGACTTTAGTTCGTTTACACGTTTATAATGAATGAATTAACAGAACCTTAATGCGATCGTAGCTTCCACTAGAAAAAAAACATGGTTTCTTAAAAATATCTCTAGGCTTTACAGGCCATTACCTAACAAACTCATCACTTGGATTACCAGACCATAAAATTTATGTAGCACAACCATCGATAATGGTACATCACTAGACTGCACACTTTATGGGTTAGTACGACGGTGGCTGGTATT